AGGAGGAGGAGGTAGATGATGTGCCAGTCTACCATCACCATAAACTATTTCACGCCTAAGACACCGACCCTGCTCTCGCCTTGCCGTGGAGCACACGGTGGACATTGTCGGCAACGACGGTCGAACTGTCGACTGGGAAAGTCAAACGGCACGTCTGCGCGTTACACACGCGATATGGCTCCTGACCCCACGCCCCATTTAGTGGAGTTTCACGGATCTCGAGCAAGTGAGAGTGTCATATATGTCATACTGAAGGTAGGTCATTTCAGCCCGGTCCTCAGTCCTGCTCAGGACCGACTTGTTCCACGAGTTGGCAGTCTTTACAAATACCAACTGCCGGCGCGTTCCTGTGTTTACAGAGCAAACTTGGTTTCGAACTCAATCGACCTCTCTCTCTTACTTGTCATAATATGCTGGGCGACTTGGAATGAGACTGAATGTGGTGGTCGATGAACTGAAGTCACCGCGTGCAGCATGTGGGTTCGAATTTCACAGATATTGGAAACCACTGTAACCTGGCCTTCTTTCCAATGGAGAAGCAAAGTATCTCATTAGCTGACGGCCTACTAAGTCTTTACTGATGATATGTCGTGGAAGAATCAAGCGTGTCGTATTTATAATAGGGTAGAATGCGTTGCTCTGTCATCAGAACGGATTCCTACTCAACAACTGCTACACTCACTTTTCCCCCTCGCATGCACCAGTGACATGCCCGAGCCTGTTCGGCTGGCTGCTGATAGCAGAAATATGTCCAGCGGATCGTGTGGCTTGAGTACCTCCGTTTGCGCGCGCCACACACACACGCCGGGTCTCCATTCCAAGGGAACCAACTCTGGCAAAAACACTGTTCTCCCACCGATTGGACGTCCGCATTCTTCCATTGGATGCTTTGCCCAGCATATAGACACCGGCGAATTGCACTGCTTGGTTATTTTATAAACGATGTTTTCTGTTTTGCTGAGAAAGCCAAGGCACAAATCAGGTTCGTAAGACTGGGGTTGCGCGAACCACTGTCACTAACACCCATACCCGACCGTGACCAACTTGTGCAATATG